GGGAAAAAAACTAAGCTGCTCGACACAGTTCATTCAAACATTGGCAAATGAATAAATCCTAAAGGTCCTGGCGTACCGAACTATAAATATAAACAGTTCCATTATACAGGCAGCGTTATCCATGATGTTCTTACATCTGCTGATAACTAAAACAATTCAACGGCCATGTGATATGAGTTGGTCTCTAGTGAGGTGATATTGGATATATAACAGAGCTATACAGAAGCTTTAGTCTTCGTCTCCTGGCTTGTACACCAGGGGGAGACGGCTCTGTTGTTTACTACGAATTGTCTCGTCGTATAAAAAAACAATTACGAGATTAATATTGATCACATTTAAAAATTATGTACAGTATAAACGATTAACAGTAACATCAATGTAGATGTATTGTGCGATACCATTAGTCGATTTTAAGATATTTGCAAGGTCTCTCAAGTTGTAAAAACGGTCCCAAGGAGGACAAACAGAACGCCCATCTACCCTAACAAAATACGATATCTGAATGTGTGTTTTTACTATGGCATAGGTTTTCTCCATCTTGTACTGTATTTGAGCAGCAGTTGCCAAATTCACTATTTGAGGTAGGATTTTCAGTTTCCAATATCTTCCTTTTCTTCCTCAATAGTACCCTAGTTAGCGTGGCTGGCGGCAACGGCTCCTCAGTCGGTGACCTAACTACTCAACACCGAGGATTCATAGGCCTTAAAAGTGGCGGCATCATTTGTCGTAGTTCATAATCATTTGCAGTCTTACCTACGGGTTTGTGGCCCAGCATAGCATGAAAAAGGCAGACCTCCACTTCTTGGCTCCATATTACCGACTCCTCCACCGGACTAGACCCCGAATCTGCCTGTTTTTCATCAGCTGGGACGGCCTCTGCTTCTCCCATTTTTTCTGAATCTTCTAGCAGGAAAAGGTCGTGCTCAGCAAAAAAGAGTAAAATAGCGCCCTCTAACAACATGAAGAAGGAGCTGCAATCTCGGTTTGGCCTATTTTATGCTAAGACCTTTTTTTTTAAAAAAATCCGTTTTTATCGCTATATGTTTATATTATTGTTATAGTTATTCATAATTATTATATTTATCATAAATTGTCATATTATTATGATTATGATTATGATGATTATTATTATTATCAAAATAACACTAGAAAGAAAGAAAAAAACATAATCAAGGAGATTTTCAATAGTAGATTCTGGGTCAGCATATTCTGTCAGGGTATATCGCAACATAAGGGCTTCATGTCGCGATATGGGAGCGGGGCCTTTTTGCCGGGGTATGTCATATCGCGATACAGTGGCTTCATGTCGCGATATGGGGGCGGGGCCTTTTGGCCGAGGTATGTCATATCGCGATATAGGGGCTTCATGTCGCGACATGGGGATGGGGCCTTTTTGCCGGGGTATGTCATATCGCGATATAAGGGCTTCATGTCGCGATATGGGGGCGGGGCCTTTTTGCCAGTGTATCTCATATCGCGATATTAGGGCTTCATGTCGCGATATGGGAGCGGGGCCTTTTTGCCAGGGTATGTCATATCGCGATATAAGGGCTTCATGTCGCAACATAGGGCGGGGCATTTTTGCTGGGGTTTGTCGTATCGCGATATATGGACTTAATGTTACGACAGTGGTGCCATGACAGTGATGCGGCAGTCGCAATGGGTATCGCGATGTGATCCTGATTTGCGCTCCTATCGTGACATGCTATTGGAGTCGTGAACGCGCAGTGAATGCCTTGACATTCGTTGTCTGCTATTCAGTTTTGACCTCAGTGCGACTCTGTTAGATTGATCAGTAATTGGAAACCAATAGATGTGTTACTGTATATCCAGCGTGCTCATACACCACACACGGTACACACAGAACTTCCGCTGTGGCTCTTTACCCAATCAGATTGTCGATTCTCACTCTTCACCCAATCGCTGCCCGGACTGTTCGGGAGTTTTAGCCAATCACGGGTCTGAGAGCTGTTCAGGCTAGTAGCGCCTGCTGGATCTGCTTGTTTACTGTCAATGAGAATCTGTTTTTTAAATGCTTTACTTATTTGTAAAATAACTACATCGGCTTATTTTTAAAAACGTCTTTATTGATTCACAATGTCCCGTACTCGTCGAAATAAATATTTTTTTTATTTGCAATATAACTGTCTCCGCTGCTTTCTGTAATGAATACATGGTATCTGAACAATTTTCATCGTAAGGTAGGGGAAACACCTTCTGCTTTGTACTTCAAAAATGAATAGAAATGTAAAGTCTATGATCATTATATTATTATGCTCGTGCTTTCAATTTGGTTTTTTTTTTGTTAAATTATATCGATCTTGAAACTAATACCTAAAAATGTGAATATGGACTCTCGTGTTGTACCAGCGGTAATTTGGAAACTGGTGTCTCTTCACCAATGAAAGGAGTACACAAGAAATACATTTTCGAGAACGTGGTAAAAAAAATAAAAGAAAACACCTAACCCAATGAACTAACATAGTAACTCCTTCCTAAATGTATGACTGTTTATTCGGGTAAAGGCTGCAAAGTCTGGGGTCAACTGATCAAAACTGAAATATCTGGTGGTCGTGACTTTGCTGTTTTGTACATCACAGCCAGGAAAAGAAGGCGCTATATTCAAATACATTGAAACATCCACCCCACCCGACTAGACAGATTCGGAAAACAAATTGCCCTCACAAATTGCCTTAATCACAATCAGGCAAGTACCGAGTTTGTTGGTACCTGTAAACTTCCTTGTAGGTAGTCACTCGAATACCCGAAAAACAAGGCGCTATATGTCGGAAACGAAAGCAGCAGAAACGCTACTTACAGCGACACAAACCGCAGCATTAACGATTGCGGTGAGTTTCGTCGTTTGTGCTGTTCGACGGGCGGGTGGGCAACTTCATGTAGCAGGACAAGCAAACATATCTGGGTCATTACATTGCAGACTGCAGAAGACTCGACTTCACCTGAGGATCTAACACAGGCACCCACACCTGTGTCTTCAGAGGGCAGGTGTGTCCTCACGCTGTATTCTACACCGAGGACTGGCCGGAAACACAAACATACTGTGAGCTCACCGCTTCATGTTTGCGCATAAGACCCCTGTAAATACAAACACATGGATAATGACAGTTCATTCAATAATTCTGATATATGTTCACTTCTGTTACGTGAAAATAAATATATATGTTTCCAATATTGCCGCGGTCCGCAGGTGTCAGACGGTGGACTTTCCCGTGTTTCTTCTCGGATGTTGTTTCTTAGATGGGCCAACTTCACGGAGCTAGACTTATAAGTATAAAAAAATGCTCTAAAAAAAACACTTCTGACTCAGTACCTTAAAGGCTTTTGGGAGGGAGCTATATGTAACAACTCCTCTTCTGATTATGCAGCATGGCCATAGTTTATCAGAAGAGGGGAGAGGTTTCATTCTTTGTCAATGAGACAGTTAAGGATACTACTGTACAGTATGTCCTTGCTGGTCAAAAACAGATTGCAGCAGTGAGGTGAAATTTTAATGGAGTTCTAACAAAAGTGTGGGAGGTTTGAAGGCAGCAAGAAAAATAAAGCTCAACTGCTGCTTCCCACAACTTATCCTGATGTAATTTCTCAGATTCCCATATGCACCACACTCTTCCTCGCTTGTTTTGCATTCCTCCACCCAACTCCCACAGTTGCAGCTACCCCTTGGTTGCCTTTTTCTCCAACCATGGAGCTCGCAGCCTCCCTGTCCTATGGCCCTAAGCCATGCGGGCTAAGCCATCCTTTCACAAACTCAAGAAACGATTCTGCTGTAAACACAATTTTCACTTGCCTTAATTCCTTGTTAAATAGAAGACTACAGATTGGAAGTAGGGGAACCTGAGCCAGAATGCATTATGTCAAAGTGTGGTACACAATTGTGAGCCTTTACTCTTAAGAATTCACTGGACAAAATAAGGAAAGAAACTCCCTGAGATCCAGGCAATGTGTGAATGCTTTAATATGAGACAGACATCCATCACCTTCCCAGGCAATCTCATGTCTCTCATTTCAACTTTTTGATTGAGTACAGGTGGACACCAGTGAGGAGTTCATGTTCAATCTCACACACCATAAACTGAAGATAATCCCCCTACAGAACCCTGAAAAGATTGTATTTCTAGTCTGTGAAAGATTTGTTCAACACATGACACATCCTGGTCACACAGCTGTTGGTGATTGTAAATTTCCACCATTTTATGAAACGGGGTTCCTAATATTTTGGCCGTTGAGTGTATTTCATCACACTAACTGATTAAGGCATTTTATGACACAATCACTGGTTCAGTTCCTTCCAGGAAATCTATTCAGCGTTCACAGAAAGGTATCTGGATAATAAGTATGTCACTGAAATGTTGACTCACCTCCGAGACTGAAGAAGTCATTTTTAAATGTAGAAAAGGTTGCTTTAGATTGGCAATAGGACATATTTGTCAGTGATTTAAAATCTGTTTAACACTTACAGGTTCTGTGGTAAAATCTATTAAATGCTTAGATTAACATCTGATGCAGTTTCACAGCTGGGGAAGTGTTAATTTGTCTCACTGTTTTTAATGTGTTTGTCAGATGTGCAGAAAGGTTAGTCTATATTTAGTCTAGCTTGCTTTCCAAGAGAAGAAATCCTTCCAAACTGGAGAGTTACCAAGTAACATAGAGCATGGAAGGTTTATTTTTCAGAATGAAAAGTCTGAAATGTCCCTGAACTTTCTCATTCCCAGAGGAAAGTGCATTGACTTCAGTTTTCTTTTCTTGACTGTTAAAACTTCCTGCCAGCTTCTTGGATATGTTTAGATTTCCCATGAGAAATATCTACTTGACAGTGATACAGATAATTGATTTTATATTGGATAATATGACATAATATTGGATAACATGACTTTCTTTCAGTGCAATACAGGGGACAACAAAATATTCAAAAGAAAGACAACTTCCATGTGGAGCTCATTAAGCTTACCCCAGTGTCCATAGATCAAACATTCAGGTTCTGACTTTAACCAGTCGTAAACATCAATAGAGACTTAAACAAGTAGGAGTGAAATTGACTAAGATTTTATTTATTTGGAAGACATAGCACTGTAAAAGCCAGCAGCCATATCACCCTGATGCTCTCAACTGGCTACTTGCTGAAGCAAAGCAGAGTTGAGCCTGGTCAGTACCTGGATGGGAGACCTCCTGGGAAGCTATGGTTGATGCTGGAAGAGGTGTTTGTGGGGCCAGCAGGGGGCACCCACGCTGTGGTTTATGTGAGTCCTAATGCCCCAGTATAGTGGCGGGGACACTATACTGTAGTGGGTGCCATTTTTCGGATGAGATGTTAAACTGAGGTCCTGTCTCTCAGTGGTCATTAAAGATACCTGGGCATTCCTCAATAAGAGTAGGGAGTTATCCTGGTGTCCTGGCCAAATTTTCCCCCTCTTACCGTGGCCTCTAAATTGTCCCCATGGATGATTGGCTTGCACTGGCCCTGCCATGGACTGGCGCCCTGTCCAGGGTGTACCCTGCCTTGTGCTCATTGCTTGCTGGTTAGGCTCTGGCTTCCCGCAACACTATAAAGTGGTTTGGCAAATGACATGACATGACATAGTACTGTGATTGCTACTAATCATCTAGACTCAAAATTATCATGTAAATGCTAACAATTCTCATTTTAGACAAAGGTTAAACACACTTTGTCACTTTTTATGTTCTTATTTCATTGTTGTGCTTTGGTTGTATTGCTGCTTCTTATGTTCAAACACCACTACCACAAACCACACTTTGAAACCAAGATGGTAAACTGCTTCATCTTTCATCTTCAATCAAAAAAGCAATTTTAGGTGTGCCGTGTAAGTTTAGAAAGTTTCAAGTGGACTTTATTTTCCTGCATTTGTCATTTTAGTGGTTTGGTTTTTGGGAACATTGCAGGCAGGGCTGCATCCAGGGGTGTTATATCTTGTTATAATACTACCAATTGACAGACTAATGCTATCAACCTAGACATCAGCAGGAGTAATGACTTAGGAAAGACTGTAAAAACTATGGCTGCTAACACAATGGGGCATCCCATGATCATAATGTTCAGAGCTGTCAGTACTCCATGTCATGGTAGCATCATGACTCAAGCTTGTAACTAGGCTTCAAGAGTGCAGCTTGTGTATTGTTCATATGTAGTGATGTGTTCCCTGGATATTTGCAAAGGATGGTATTTTCTGACACCCACTTTATCCTCTCCAACTTAGTAATTGCAGAGCACATGTCTGCAAGGAAAAAAAAATGCAAAAGCCCTCTAATACTTGTTGTGTAGATAATCAAGCCTGTGGTCACCTCCCCAGATAAACTCTACATGTTGTCTGTCTTGAGCAACAGGCATGCTCTTTTAATGCCAGGTGTTTATTTTTAAATTCTGGCTTGTATCAGACGATATCAAGATACAGTGGCTTCGTTTAGAACTCAAAAGAAGGATCTAGTGCTCATGATAATTCTGTTCAAGTGCCTTGTTGAATGCTGATTTCATTCATATTAGTGAATTCAGTCAATATTAAATATGTTTATGTTGTCTTAGAAGTAAACTTTTCCTGAAGGTGGTCTTTACACAGTGATCTATATCTAACTTTAACTTATTAACTAAATTAACTTATTTCTTCTACGAAGTAAAATACTAATGCATAGTGATCTGTTCATTTAACACTTTGAATGCTTGTAGTGATTGAAAACATCATACTGTGTGTTTTTCTATATAACAAGAAATGCATACCGTACATACAACAGTTGGAGAAATCTGTGCTAGAATTTGTTGAATGTGTTTAAAAAAATCATACTACAGACCTGTCTTTCAGTGCACATACAAAAATGAGAAAGAATCAAATCACTGAATGTATGTTCTATATAAAAATACAATAAAACTAAGCTGACCAATGGCAACATCTTTTTAAATCTTAGCTAAAGTTAAACTTATTTAACCTGCTTAGCAACAAAGAAATCATAAAAGATGAATTGATAAACAACATACACTTCAGAGGGGAGTGCTAGACAGAGTCAATGTTTTGTTTCAGTAGAATATTGATTAATTATTTGTGTTTTTATTTTGGTGCTCTATGTTTTGGCTCTACACCCCCTTTAAGCAACTCAGTTCCTCCCGTTAATAGAGGTTACACGTACAGTATAATCACTCTGTGCGTTTATACCCTTGGCTAGCTGTGGGCAAACTTGCTGGTTTGGATGTGTCTGGTTTGTTGGGAGCAGAAATGAGCTTCTTTGCTGAATCACTGGGTCTCCCTCTTGCTCTGCTGCAGTTGCTTCACTGCAGTCTTTGCTTTTCTTACTCTGCTACCGCATTGCCGTATTACAGGGGGTGCCCGCATTGCGCAGGGGAGACAAATGCTTCAACCCCCTCCCAGGGACATAAAACTGCCTGGGCTGGAGCTAATAGTCCCTGCTGTCTGAGATCGCAGCCACAGGTAAGAGGCAATATGAATCTGCTATACTATAACCTCTTCTGCTGCAATAGGGGGAATTTCTTACTGTTTTTTTGTTGGTATGTTTTCATGAAGCACCGGGGTTCAGAGTGTAAAACCGAGAGGTCCGTCTTCACCTGCTGGGAGGTATCAATGTTTGCTAGGAGACATGTAGAACATGATGCTAAAAGTAATTTGTTACCTTCAAGAAGAAAACTAGAGACACATTCTCAACAAGCAAAATTGAATATTCTACTGACTCATAAACTGCAACTCTCTTGCAGTGGTTTTCTGGTAAGGATGGGATGATATCAATTCGAAGTAATGGAGGAATCAAACTTTGCAGCTTGCAAAGCCAGCTATGTTTTATCGGGATAAATAAAAAGACAAACAAAGATGTTTGTTTGCTGGGGAATCCACTGCTAAGGACATTCGAGGCCTTTGCTTTATTTTCATGAGGACCAATGAGCATGAGCATAGCATTGCGCTATAGAATACAGGATTTTAGATTCAAGACCACAATGACATAATTATTTTGATAACTCTGTTTTAAACATGCAGCAAATACCTTCTGCTCTAAATGTTACTAAATGTTTGCCATCTCAATATTACCACACCTGGGCTCAAGGGAACTAATACATTCTAGAACTAATAAATTAGTTTTACTTGATTTGGTTGAAATGTTAAAATTATTCCAAATATCTAGAGGATCAAGCACATTGCCTGGCTCAAGGATTGACAATCAATAATCTCATAACAGACGAGGTTATAAATTAATACATTTCTTATGACCTGGTTAGAGTATGATTATTTCAATCCTGTTTGCAAAACTATGTGACAAAACAACATAATACATGTTATCTTAAGATTAAACGTCTTTTTCCATATACTGATGCTTTTCTAAAAAGATTTTTAGCCTCATTGTCTTTTCTTCTTGCTAAAATGGTGAAATTAATGATTAACTATAATTGAGAAGTTATTTAACGTTAATATGCTTATTTTAATGAATGCTGAGATTTGTTTGCCTACAAGCCAGCCTGTCTGTCTGGTTAAGTACAGTTTGACTTGAGTGGATTATTCTCTTTGATCTGATCTTGACAATCAGGGCAGCAGTAGTACATTGCCTAGTGTTGCTGGTATATAATGAAAACATTCAAATGAATGTGATTTGATATTGTTAAAAAGTGCATATTAAACAGCGTATGTGAAATGATTGCTGAATTAAATTTAGCATGTCTGATTTCTTTGTTGGGTGGGTGAAACATGTATATCCTGCATTAGCAAGGTTTAAACTCGAATGTTTGTGGTCCTTGTATGAAAAATGAACATTTTGAACTATTTTCCCATTTCTCATTGAAATAAATATAAAAAAAGTTATTAAATGCATTCAGTATATAAAATGTTTACAATTTTCAACTGTAAATGGGGCTGCAGGTCTCAGAAACATCCCAAATTCAGACCCTTCTGTCCTGACATTGTAAAATTATTGATGATTAATAATGACAAATGATCATGAAATAATGAAAAACATCATGAAGTTATTGTTCATTTAGATTAGTGCATTTTAGCTTGGTCAGTGGGATACTATAGTACTAGGATAGCAGTGGATCCTGTCGTCCTATGGTATGAAAACAATTTTTTTCCAAATAAACTCCAGAATACATTTCTAATACACAATATTATTAATATATTTAGATATTATTATGGAGGAGTAATGAAGTTTGTTTAAAAAACATTGCAAATCGCAGTAAGTTTGTTATATTAGATGTTAGATAACGATTATTGCATTAACTGGTACTGTATTTAAGTAGAAAAAGAATTATGTGAATTTCATTTTATTTTAATATCTTTGGAAAGAAAATATCTTAACATATTCAATTACAGAAACAGTTGTTTTAATTCTTTGTGACATTGGCAGCTTGGTCAAGAATTTAGTCCTGTTCATGTCTTAATGTCTGTCTGATTCATACTCATATACAGTACAGTATGTTGTCTCAGTATGAGTCTCTGTCTACAAGGTCATGGTACTTTCTAATGTGTAAAGACTTAAGAGGCAGCCATTTTAGGCATGTATTTACATATAATGTCAGATCTGCAATTCAGGGAAAATTAGGGCAAATACATCAATGAATAAATAACCTTCTGCTTCCCATTCTGAGAACTTTCTTATTACTGTAGATTAATGGGAAGTTTAAAATTAAAGTATTAAGAGGGACCCTATTCAGGATAGACTAGTTTTGATAGATTTCTTTGATGCTCTTCAGTGATTAGTAACCCTCTCTAACGTGGGATGTTTCATCTCCCCTCTGCTTCTCCCCCAGACCTGCCTTGTTCCCAAGCTTCCAACTAGCTCGTCGCTGTCCTTGGAGACCTGAGCTGTAGAATGGGGAAGGAGAAGGTCCACATCAACATTGTGGTCATTGGCCACGTGGATTCTGGAAAGTCCACCACCACTGGGCACCTCATCTACAAATGTGGAGGGATCGACAAAAGAACCATTGAGAAATTTGAGAAGGAAGCAGCAGAGGTAGGACAAATGCATGCCCAGCTCACGAAACCTGAGAAATGTCAAAACCTAAAAAGTTCACTGTTTTCAGCTTTTCGTTCCCTCTTAGTTTAGGTTACGCTGCTGCTGAGGATGGTAGGAAGTCTGTGGTGATTTGTCTGAATATCATCTCCTTTTTTTGTGATGTTATAAATGCTTTTCTCTGTCTCTGTTACATTGCATTAGGGCTGATCACATTTTAGAGATCTTTTAGATGGAACATGAGACTCAGCAGCCTGCAGGCTTGCACACAGCTCCCGTACCTTTGAATGAGACCCAGCCAAGAGATGTGGAAAGTTTCCATTATTAGCTTCCTTATTTAGTAAGCACACTCCATTTTCTGATGCAGTGTGGCCCTTAACTTGATAGCACATGACACAAGATGGAGTATAAATCTATTTACACCAGCTGAGGGAAAGCGATCTAAGTGATGTATTGCTTCAGATCTGAAAATCAGCTAAAGCTAACACTACAACCTATAGCTTTTTGTACAGTGTAATTCCTTTCTTTTTAATTCGGTCATTTACAGCAGCAAATTTCCATGCAATAGAAATAGCAGCAGGTCAATCTTTTCAACCTTGGCAAAATGGTGAAGGTTGAAATGAAGTTAAATTTGGTTGATTTTGTTTTGCATTTGCTAAATTGCACCTGCTCTGATGATCAGGTCATCTCTTTGTTGTGGTACAAGGCCTGTGGTCACATTTTCTTTTTGTTGATATGCATAAAAAAATCAGGAGAAACAAGAACTGTTTTTTTAAATGAAATCCAAGGAGACCGAAGCACAATAATGCTTAAGTTTGACGTATTTTTACTTTTAAAGATGTCCTCAAGTTGTTTTTATTTGGAAGAAGCCTGTAAAGGCCTCTACAGGATTCAATTTTTTTCAAAATTCTAGAATATTAGAACATAAATACAGTAAATATTTGATTTAACAGATCCTGATTTAACAGATTTCGGATTTAACGGACAAAATTCTATGGTTGATATGTCGGTTCTTGATAAGCAATGATGATGAGGAAGAAGGGCCACCAATTTGCAAAATCAAGCTGTCTGATTTGAGATCTCATTGCGACGACTTGATCACGTTTATCGACTCATGATCTGATCCTGAAGTTTAGCTGTATTACTCTCACTTCCAAGCTTTCAGAGAGATTATTATTTGTAAGCAGCAAACTTCCAAAGCACAATTGAAACCTAGCACCTCCTCAGCAAATGGTGTCAATCTCCCGCAGGACTGACATGAAACATGGAAGAGGAGCAAAGTGATTCCTCTTATGAGTAGACTACATAATGTTCAGTTTTTGTTCTTGTTTAAAGAAGGTGGGTAATTTATTATTGTTTTCTAATTCATTACATGTAATATATATAATGAAATTTGTCATTTTTCACCTAAACACAGGTGGCTTTGTGCTTCAAAAATGCATCATTTGCTATTTAACAGACTTTTGGTTTCATATAGATGTTATTTTACAGACATTTGGATTTAATGGACATTCGGCAATATCGGACACCCCCTCCTCCCCATTAGTCCGTTAAATCGAGGATATACTGTACAATTGAAAAGAGTGGACCATTTGACCAATTTAGCTTGATTTATTGCTAGTGGCTAATAGATATTAGTCCATAATAAAATATTGTAACTTTAGAGTGATGCAATATTGTTGTTTTTATAAAAATATACTTATTATTGAAACTGTTATGATAACAATTAACAATTTATTTTAATGGCACAGGAACTATGAAGGAACAGAGGTTGTTTCTTGCTGATGGGAGTACAAAATGTATCCATTCCATAGTTTTTGATTCTGATTCTGATTATTACTTTCCTCTAGTAGTTGTCAGTCCTGTGGATTACAACAGCTCATTGCCCTGAGGTCAGACTTTGACCACTTTCTTTAGGCCCTGAAGTACAGATGATGTATGGGTGCAGGCAATGTTTGAGATTTATTGATGTCAACAAATTCATCCTTGGAGTAGAGCACAGTATCGCTTTGGTCTACTCTTGTTTATCCTGATTCATTCATCACAATCGCACAATTTTATTTACTACAATACCAAATACAGTCGGCCAACTGGGAGCTAGTGCTTTATGGTATTGACCAATGAGAAGTAATGACTTCATCACAGCACAGAATTGCTTGAAAAATGGAGGTATCTAGGAACACACAGGGCTGTTTACCAGAGTGTATGGAATAAACATAATGATATTGATCCTGAAGTTAGAGGTGAAAAGGTTAGAGCTCAGGGAATTAGAGGGTTTCATAGACTCTTGAAAGATTTCCCTATCATTTATGGAGATTCCATTATCAGCGTTCTCTATGGCTGTAATTATTGATTTCTTAATTAAACTTTTTTGACCAGGAAATATCTTTGTTGGCCCAATTGAATAACAGTGTCAATAATAGTGATTTAACTGTGATAAGGTGGTATTTAAAAAGTACAGTCAGACAAATGCAATCCAGTTTCCAAATAAAAGTACAAAAGCTCCCATTAGCAATCTGAGTTACCAAATCATTACATTACATTACAGTTTCATGAAGGTTTAAGATATTTTAAACAAATAACTATTAACAAATACCTAGAAACAAATGTATCAATTTGTTGATTGAGTAGTTCCAGTGAGTGAGCTGAACTGCTTTACCCCCTACCCACCACAAAGCAGTTCTCCTTTGTGTGAATGTATCATTCATACTCTGTAGCTGTGTAGCTGTGTATCAAGCTTCTATATGTCCTTGTGCGTGTCTTTCCACCTTTCAGATGGGAAAGGGTTCTTTCAAATATGCCTGGGTGTTGGACAAGTTGAAAGCTGAACGTGAACGTGGAATCACCATTGACATCTCTCTCTGGAAGTTTGAAACCACCAAATACTATATCACCATTATAGATGCTCCTGGACATAGAGACTTCATCAAGAACATGATCACAGGAACATCTCAGGTAGAGGCCCACTTTACTCTAAGGAAATGTAATGTTACAGTAGTATCATAGTTCCTGATGCCATGATGCTCCCAGGCTTGTCCCATCAATCTCTATGTCTGAGTCTGTAGTTCGCATGAATATACTTTGAATTGGTTATTGTACGGATGGTTGAAATAGCCAATATCAAGTAATCCAAATGGTTCAATATCTGATATTAGCATACAGTGGTTGGGATTTGCTATTTCAAGTTAGAAATGGTGTAACATCCTCAAGCTCATTTTGATTCTTTAGACTTTTGAAGTAGATGTTGTGGGAAATTATTATATTATATCCTTAACTGCTAGATTAATATAATGAAACTCAGAGTCATGTGAAGGACGTAATGCCACTCTGATCAAGAATGTCACTTACAAATAAATTAAATGAAACGGGGAGAATTGGATTATAAATCCCAAAGCATTTCAGCTGCAGAGGCACGTGATGCAAGGTGACCTGTGCGAAGTGCGAAGAGGTGCACCAGTGTTAAACCCCGTGCGCTCCTGTAGGCGGATTGTGTACCAGTGTTAAACCCCGTGCGCTCCTGTAGGCGGATTGTGCACCAGTGTTAAACCCTGTGCGCTCCTATAGGCAGATTGTGCACCAGTGTTAAACCCTGTGCGCCCCTGTAGGCAGATTGTGCACCAGTGTTAAACCCCGTGCGCTCCTGTAGGCGGATTGTGCGCTAGTGTTAAACCCCGTGTGCTCCTGCAGGCGGATTGTGCCGTCCTGATCGTGGCAGCTGGGGTTGGGGAGTTTGAAGCTGGGATTTCGAAGAACGGGCAGACACGGGAGCACGCCCTGCTGGCCTACACGCTGGGCGTGAAGCAGCTCATCGTGGGCGTCAACAAGATGGACTCCACCGAGCCGCCCTACAGCGAGAAGAGGTACGATGAAATCGTCAAGGAGGTGAGCGCCTACATCAAGAAGATTGGCTACAACCCGGCAACCGTGCCCTTCGTGCCCATCTCCGGCTGGCACGGCGACAACATGCTGGAACCTTCCCCCAATGTGAGTTCCCCCTTCAGTCTTGTTTCTGACAGAAATTGCCCTTCAAGAATATGGACGGTTTTCTACATCATATTTGTAGAGCAATCTGTAATGAGGGTACTGAACAGAACACATTATCTCTGGGATGTGATAGACTGAAATGTGAGTGGAATATAGTCTTTTTTAGTGTTGGTCCAGGTTTTACAAGGGGCTATGAATGGCAGCTGCTTCTTAAATAGCTTGACTTCAGCTTGTGAGGTGGCTGGCTGCTGTTCCAGGCTGTTCTGTGGGCCAGACAACCGCAGAGAGAAAAAGCAATGCCCTAGCTTTTCTGTAATTTAGGAACATACAGAAAACAGCACAACAGGGCACTTCCTTCTTCTCCAAGAAGTATTTTTTCATTAGCTTCATGACATGACGATCGCATGTGCACAATTTTCCACCAGGTGGAGCCACTGCACTACACACGATTCAATTTTAATCCTTCCGTCTGATCTTAATTCTAGTTTGTGGAAGACATTATATTCTTTCTGTAGGTAACCGACAGTGGGCTGCCATATCTGTTGAAAAGTCTAGGTTCTTATTTTGAAAGACTGCTTCAAAATGTTAAAACCTTTTAGAGAGTAAGTTAGATACAAGTTTCTTAATATTTTAGGTGCTACCCTTAGATAGGCACATAAAAAAAGAAGATACTTGTTTATAGCAGGTTGCTGACTTCATCATTTCTGTAATTCTGCTCATTTGGTTGTAGAAAGAAGTTAACATTTTGGACAACCTTGTCAATTGTTTAAGAAAAGAGTAGGATTTCTGTAGCTGAACTGTCTTATATCCCCTTCTACTGTTCACATGGAGGCAGGGTGGTGCTTTTATTTAAAATACCTAACTGATTTAATAGTTTCTGCTTTGTAATCAGACCCTGAAAACATGCTTTGCATACTTTGAAAGGAAACCCACAGAGTGATCTGACACATGGAGCTATTGGTTGCATGTTATTTTGGATCTGTACTCTTTCAGATGCCCTGGTTCAAGGGCTGGAAGTTAGAGAGAAAGGATCACAATGCCAGTGGGGTGAGCCTGCTGGAAGCCCTGGACACCATCTTGCCCCCAACACGCCCCACTGACAAACCCCTGCGTCTGCCCCTGCAGGACGTCTACAAGATTGGAGGTCAGAGGGGTTCAGTGTCCCAGGGAAAGAGCTCACAATCCTTCTCTGAATTTTCCAGAAACGTCACCTCTGTGTTCTGGAACACAGAAGATGTTTGGAGGGTTGAGGGAGTTTTGTACTGAGGGCAAATCCTCAAACTCTGCTTGAGCTTTGCTGATGGAAATAGTACCAGAAGGCTTAGTTGAAAAATAAAACCGTATCCTCAAATCCTCACCGTTGACACTGTGAGATGAAATGAGAAGATGCTTACATCAAGAATTGGCTTTAGCTATCTGTGATTCATTGCTATTTTTGTGGGCAGGTATTGGAACAGTGCCAGTGGGGCGAGTAGAGACTGGAGTCCTGAAACCTGGCATGGTGGTGACCTTTGCCCCTGTTAACATCACTACTGAGGTAAAGTCTGTGGAGATGCACCACGAGGCTCTGAGCGAGGCCCTCCCTGGGGACAACGTGGGCTTCAACATCAAGAACGTCTCCGTCAAGGACATCCGCCGAGGCAACGTGTGTGGGGACAGCAAGGCCGACCCGCCCCAGGAGGCTGCTGGGTTCACTGCTCAGGTCAGCGTTCCTCATTTCCTGTGAATGCCAATTCCTCTAGCAGCTCTAGCAGCTCACAGGCATGGTTACTGGGGAGCTTCTGTGTGTAGTTTTCATGCCCTCCTCATGTTTCTTGTGGGTTTTTGACAGGTGTTCCAGTTTGCTCCAGCACATGGTGGCTAGGTTAAATGTGTATTTAAATTGTCCCTGTGCCTGAATGTGTGTGTGCCCTACAATGGAACAGCGTCCTATCTGTGGTATAGTCTTGCCTTCTGACCCTGTGTTTCTCAGGTAGGCCTGGGGTTGCCATGACCAGGAAAAAGTGATTTTCTGACAATGTACGTATGGATGGAAGAATACAGCTCTCTTTAGTCCAGTTGTTGCTGGTTTGAGTTATTTTAAGCACTAGCCAGCTGGGAGCTGGTTTTTCAAAGTGGAAGTACACAACATGAGGGCCAGTGTTCTCAGTGAGGTATTCCGCTTGTCCAGATCTGTATAAGGCATTCCCTCTGTCTGTTCCCTCTGTTCAAAGCACCAAATGATGAATATCTGTGACAGATGGGCTTATCAGAGGAGCATGTCTCCAAATCGCCATTCTTCACATGTTAAATTCACATTTTGCTTATCGCTAGTGTGGTTATGACCACTAAACCATAATGTTTTTTTAACCTATTTTCCCATTTGATGGAAAATACCCTAAGCATATTGACTACTGCAAAATTCTCCTTATGATTTATTCCTTCCATTACCCTCATGGTCCCTTATCTTAGCCATTCCTGCAGCTTGCTATATAGACAAATGCAACACGACCAACAGGAAATGAACTCACAAGGCTTTTCTGTTGTCTTGCTCAGGTGATCATCTTGAACCACCCTGGCCAGATCAGCGCTGGCTACTCCCCTGTCATTGACTGCCACACTGCACACATCGCCTGCAAGTTTGCGGAGCTCAAGGAGAAGATTGATCGCCGTTCTGGCAAGAAACTGGAGGACAACCCCAAATCTCTCAAGTCTGGAGATGCAGCCATTGTTGAAATGGTCCCTGGCAAGCCTATGTGTGTGGAGAGCTTCTCCCAGTACCCACCCCTGGGTGAGCAATTGCACAATTACCGTCATTACTGCTAAGCGCATCCTTGAAGCCATGCATATTAATTATATAGCACTTGCATTTTACGATGCTTAATGGTAGAACCTATTTTATTCAACTTTCATGGATCATAGATCATTCAGATTGTTTTTTTCTTCTCATTTCACTTGCTTTAGAGAAAGAGTTAACATCTTATTCTTCTGTAACAGGGTGATGGAAGTAAAACCAAAAGCAGCCAGACAGATGGACTGAGTTTTATTGAGAGTGAAACTCAATGGGCTGTGAAAATTCTTGTGCAGAACCCTGTTCTCATTTGCTTTTATATGCACTACAGAGACATTTAGAAACAATTAGACATGTATTTGTACAGCATGTAAGTTCTTTCTGATGCGTATTATCATTAGATTTAAGATATTATTCTTCCTAAGGGAGCCAGATTGCAACCATTGGCTTACAAAAGTGTTGCTTTCCTTTCCATTCCTGAGAAGGTATTTACAGCTGACTCAATGGCCCATAGTGGGGTCATATCCAATATTAGTGGCTAATGGTGATGATGGAGAACATGGTGTAATGGTGTCTTGCAGAAAATTTAAATCTGTTTTCCATATCGTAGAAGCCTGGTCTTTATTGCTGTGAAGCACTTAAATTCATAGTCATAGTCATCAAGGGACAGTGTGTTAATGTTTGCAAGAAAAATTACGGTTACGAGACGGAAAGCTTTTTGAATGACTTTGGCTGACTTAGAACAAGTTTTGTGTGAACGGCTGTGCCAGTAAAGGCCAATGCATACTGTATACTTGGGCAGCAGAGAGGCTGAGGTTAGAGGCCTGGGAGTCTCAATTACACTGTGGTCAGTACCAGGTGCTTCCTTGAGGCTTGCTTTGTGGTGTAAAAGCCACTGAGACATGGATTCATCCCCACCAACCACTGTGACACTGTAATGAGATATAAATTAAGAATTAAGAGCTGTGCAGTATTGCCACAAAGGCCTTTCCCTAATATACTTCTATTCATTTGACTCTGGACGTTTAAAGAAAATAAGATTCAAGGAAAGGTAGGCTGACTTCCACAGGATGGTCTCCTACCACGACTGTGGCGGCACGACTGCTGTGTGGCAGACCAAACCGCTCACAGCTGTCCTTCTGTGTGCGGCAGGGCGCTTTGCGGTGAGGGACATGAGGCAGACGGTGGCGGTTGGCGTGATCAAGAACGTGGAGAAGAAGACGGGGGGCGTGGGCAAGGTCACCAAGTCGGCTCAGAAGGCCCAGAAGGCTGGCAAATGAATCGAGCGGCAGCAGTGCATGTTGGCCGGAGCGCCCCAGCCTCCAGGCGGCCCCCAGTACCTCCTCTCCACGGGGCATGCCCACACATCCGCTTCTAAAACACTCTTCGGCAACGACTGGATGCTAACTATCAAAGTCCAATGGAAGTTCTTTAAAAGGAAAAGCATGCTCCAGCATTTGTAAGGCTTCTTGTTAATTTTACCATTAAACTGGTCCACCCACTTCACTGCTGCCAGTGCTGTCATTTCACTCACTCCACATAAGAAAGAACACAGCCTTTTTTAAAGGGCAGAATATGGAGTTAATGGACTTGTCTGTCTCGGGTGATCTGTAGATGCTGAAGAAGACTCCCTGCTAAGGATATTTACTCCATGCATTCTAAAAACAAGGGGCGAATAATATTAACAGTTTTAAAATATGTACTTATTCCTAAAAAATATCTGCATTATATATACTGCTTTTCAAAAGGCTTAGACATTTGACCTTTTATGGCCTTGTCAGTTGCTTGCCAGGATAGGTTCTGGCTTCCTTGCGACACTGAATTGGAAGAATTTAATTGGTCAATTTGACTTAGCAGCTACAACATTTCATATAGACCGTTTATGTAGAGTTTATAGACTGTTTATATAGTGTTTACCTTTTTGTTTTGCCTTCTTATTTTTGAAGATTCTGATCAAGAACAGGTTTCTTCTCACCCAAATGAATCTGTATCAACAACAGTCACAGTTATTGCACAGTAAAAACCACTAGTGGAGTTAAGAGCTGATGGTATTAAAATACGTGGGTTCTATATGTAATCCTGATTATGTAAAAGACTGAATAAACAGCAGTGTATTTAGTGTATAAAATGTTATCTATTGAAATATTTTATAGAGTTTTAATTGTTTTCTAACTCGAGCATAGTGTTTGTACCACTAGACAGCTGGCTTGTTCCGGATATTGGGAGTAATTCGAATTAGAATACTACAGTTCCCTCTTTCTTCTTCCTAAATTTAAGGCATTGCACATGTCTCATAATTCAAATTTACAAGTTGAGTCACAGAAGTAATGACTTTATTGGAAATCCATCATGGCCGCATTTAGCAATGAGATAATTTTACATAATGTTTCAGTATGTAAAACATTTTTCTTTCTTTGAATTTCTTTAATTTATTATCCAGCACCAAGCCTAGACCTTCAGGCTACAATATTTTGCAACGCAGAGAAAATCATTGTCAAGTGCTATAAAAAGAATTCAGATCATTAGCACAGCACTGTGTGCACTGAGGAAAAACAGATTGCTCAAATCATGTAAAATCTTCTCAGACTGTACACATTATATTTCTATCTAGAATTTGGCTTGAAAGTCACGTACAAGCAGCATCACCAGAGTGATCAGCTGTGCACTGTGAAAAACAATTCATAATTTTGTTCTAAAATTTTGTAATATTTTATGTTGTAAGACTGACGTGTAACATCCTGGATCTGCTGAGCTGATGGCAAGCGTTTGAAAGCACTGGGAATCATCTTCTGAACTTTATTGAATCTGACACCGAGACTGGGTATTCCAGAGCTGACTCTGGAGGGAAGGTGTGTCTGCAGGTCTTCATTCCCGCAGCTGTTAATGACCTAAATCAGCTTATTACTGCTTAAATTAGATCAACTTACCACCTCTTCACAGCATTTTGAGGTGCTGGTGCTTTAAAGAGACTTAGAAGGCCTATGGACACCTGTGCTGTGAAGGTTACAGACCTCTACATTAAGGAAAATTGCCAGTGATTTGGAAGAGAAATCAAATACACATTTAAACAAGTAAACACATCAAGCTAGAACTTTGTAATCATTGCAGATAATAGTGGTATGTTTCAAGAAATGCCATAAACTCCTTTGTTAAATTGCAGGATCTTCCTCCACAGTCACTCATGTCTTGTTCTCTGGAAGATGAAGGTCTATTACAGATTCAGGGTGATACTAGATTTTATCATGTTATGTATGTCATCACTACATACACTGTTGGCATTTCCTCCGTACAGGAAATGTGATCTTAGCGCCTTTAAACCGATCATCTCAAACATGTGAGTCCGTAGGAGGACGAAAGTTACTCTCCTCACTGCTTTTGATCCATTCCAGCGGCTGATTTCTCAATGTTGGAAGGAAAAGTCTTTTCCACCTGCTGACGTGCTAAATGCTGCAAGCTGTAATGAACTGTAGAGGCTTAACAGTACTTCTCATTCTGACTGAAATCCTTTCCTAATTTGCTGTCCTGCTTGTGAGGAACGCAGACGGCCAGTCGAGGCGGTCCAGGTGTCCGCAACACGGTTCTCTAACTTGGGCCATGCCAAAGGAATTGGGAAACTTCTGATGAGCTTCGTAAAGGATAAAACAGGAATGTTCAAGGATTATATCTCTATACATATGGTGTCATGTAGAAGATAGTAATTTGTATAACCCTGCGCTACAGTGCCTCTCCTTTCCCTTCACATTTATTGCAAAGCAACATAGAATCTATCCATCCATTAATTGTCTTGTAGCTCTGGCCAGTGCACGCTGACAGTGGAGCCGGAGCCTAGCAACGCAGAATGTCTGCTTTAAATAACTTAATGTTGATATATTAAGTAGTAGTTACATTTCCATGTATTATCCATATACACAGTATATTATTGGTAGCATCTGGATCATTATAATTTGTGATTGACTTAGTTCTGAAGCAAATTCCCCACAAAATAAATTGAACTTAGTTTTTAATTCATATCAATATGAAAGACTGTTATATAAATAAAGATGCTAAATGGTTAATTTAAATCACTCAATTTGTTAAATTATTTAAGCATACTTTTATGCTGACTCACTGCATAGCTCAATCAATCCTTTTAGGTTCTCTAAAGCCTATGACCTAATCATTATATAATTATAATTGTGAGTGAAGCAGACTTGTGGTAAGTATCTGCTCACATCTGAAAACAGATTAAAAAAAAGTTTCCCTTAATTGTCTTTTCAGTGGGGTATTGGAACATTGTACCACATATCTTTATGGTCTGAGATATTTTCTAGTATATGTTTGTACTTGTATACATTACTGTATAATGTAGTTTAATCTAGCTATCTATAAATTAAAAGTATTAACATTTTTATCCACTGTGATGCATTTAAAATGGGATTTGTGACAGTTTTTTTCAGTTTTTTATGAATGCGATTTAAAAATGTATATTGTTAAATTTAATATACTATATAGGTTTTTTGACGCATTTGACTATTAAAGATTATAATCTATCACTATCTCCTAAATACAGGAAAGCTATATATGGTTTTACATCTTTCTGCTCCCTGTGTGTGTCTGTGAGGACTAGGCATGATGTGATACAAAGATTTTTTGTACTTCAGATCTACTTGTTTTTGTGCTAAAGCACACAGGCCCTTTCATCAGCCTAAGTGTTGTCAGTAATTACACATTGTGTTATTTTTTCTGGGGCAGTGAAAAGACAAAATATAGAAACCACCCTCTGTTATTTCTTGGAACATTCTGTGGTATCTTGTGGCAATTTGGAGTAGTAATTGCCTTTATCTCCACAGATGTTGCACTTTGGAGTTTGTTCTGGCACTGAAATAGATTGTTTCTGTCTTTAAAATACACTCACAGAAGAAACTGACTGTAATATCAGAAGATAACAGAAATCAGAAACAAACTGTTGTCTTACCTACCACTCATGGAGACAAAAGCTGTCTTTTGAACACATTATTGCCTCCCATTAGGATGCTCATGATTAATTTATGAAACCACTAATCCTGGTTTGCAAAACATCCAACTATTTGCACTGTCTATGCCTAAGAGGGCATCATCTGGGGTAGGCTTGCAGAGTCTTGCGTTGTTTCTTCCAAATAATGTAATATTGGTGACACTTGTTTTTTTCTGACAGAAGTTTAAGCGAACATACTGTAACAGTCCTCTTTTGAAAAACTGAATACCTGGACCTGGGAGGTTACAAGTTAAATAATGCCTGCATTCAGGACTGCAGAGAACAATGTCCAAGACACATGAGGCAAAGCAGCAATTGAATCTGTGATTGAGATTCATATTGTTTTCCATTAATCTTAAAAAAAAATAAAATTGTCAGCGCCAGTCTTTACGGAGTCCTGTGCATTTATTTACGTTCCATTCCTATTGATTAATGACAGCGAGGAGCCCCGGAGCAGTATGAGTTTATTCGTCCGCCCACCGATCGTACTGTGACTATGAGTAGCAATGTTACTAATAAAAATAAGCAGTGATTGATCCCGCCGTATCTAGTGAACTATCATCTTCGAAGTCTGTGCGCAAATGCTTCCGGCACCGATGCAATTTCGCAATCAAGTGTCAGACCTTAAAATAATATGAGGCTGAAAACATGCGATATTGGCTTGCAATAGATGAAGCCGTCTGGTGTATAATAATAATAATAATAATAATAATAATAATAATAATAATAATAATAATAATTTCTTCTGTTTTAGTTTTGAGATTGGAGTTTAATTATTTCTGCCCCTAGAGGGAGCTGTGTCCATTACAGACGGATGGCGTACTTACGTGCGGGTCTGGTTTCCTTTTCTACCTCTCCGGAGTTCAAGGATAATTAATGTGATTTACAACGATTAAGTGCAAGTTAAAAAGCAGTTTGTAATTCTCCCAAATTTTAACAAACGGATTACAGGTAGGCCGTGGTATTAAATAAATCTTATAACATTATAATGAATGGTAGCTGAATAGGTTATATAACATTTTCCAAGCTCTTTAATTTGTTATTGTTATGTACTAAATGGATACTAAATGAATGAAAAAGGACATACGGTTTACATCGCACAGGGTTAATGGAAATACAATTTTATTGGTAGTAAATGCTTTTAACAGGTTGTTTACAGACTGCCCCGGTGAACTTTAAGGTAGTTACTGTAAACTACCTTTGTAAAGCCTTATAACAACAATTAAGATGCAAGCCAAGTATTGTAACATACGCTCCTGCTGCTACTATTTATTGCACGCAGCACAATTGAAAGGAACGGGAAAGAAACACTTTTGATTAACAGCGTTAGACTTAAGATGTAAGGTCTTTTTCAATTTCGTTATCAGTTTAAAAATAGATAGCGTAAAGAGTAGCCATACTGTGAAACTAAACGAAAAGCTTCAGCTGAGTGGGGAGCACGTTATTTTTTTTGTTAAATTTGTTATTGACTGACGTAGTTTTTAACAGATTTGCCCGTTCCCCTCCCTAATTA